GTGCTGTTATTCTCGGCATCAATGTGAGTGGTTCTTGGTATTTACTTAATTTAATGGCTTGATCATTTTCTTTATGGAAATTAGATGGATTTATTTAGTTATGAGAATTGGATATGAATGAGTTAGATTAAGTTATATTATTAAAAAATTACAGATATTGAAATTTAAATTGATTTTTCGTATGTTATGGAATCCTAATTGGATTAGTCTGTTCGTTTAGGCCATGTGAGCTGAATTTAGATATGATATGGATATTTAAAAGGTTGAAGGTGCATCTTGTAATCTGAATGCCAAAGGGTCTTAATTTTCTCAATTTGCTACAATAATAAAATTTACTCAATGCTGGCGTGTTTTATATGGTAATGAAGGCAGTTCTGCATGTATTCAGTATTCTTCCTTTAACTTGATGGAATCTTTATTTGCAAAATTGTATTTTATCCGTCTATGATGAAAAAACTGTCTACATTACATATTTAGCCTCAAGCCTAGCACTGAGTGGATTTTAAATATCTTGTCATCATGATTCATGACCTTATATTCTTCTCATGGCTACATAGATGTGGCTTATCTTCTATCCAAGGGTTGGCAAAGAGGTGCAATGTATACAAATTTTGCCCAACTGATGACAGTAATCAAGAAAATGGCATTAGGCATACTTTTATTGCTAGCAGTTGTTCAACAACAACAAATTCAGCATTGTTCCCATCATATTTTGGATAAGATATATGATTCTTTTTTTGGCACCCCTTTAGGTTCTTTACTTGATCGTTAGAAACCACCACAAACTTTGTAAGTTTTGCCTTTGGTCTATGCTTCCCTTTTCTTACATATACTAACGAGGTTGCAGCACTCTTATGAATAAGGGTCTCTTTAGGTATGTACAAAAGATTCAACCACTTGCCATTATTCTATTTGATTATGCACAGTTTCTCTATGGTGCAAAATACTGTTAAATGAGTCTAAATTTAAAACGTTATTTGTTAAGGATTGGAAAAGATAAAAAAAAGTTTGTATTTTTGTAATTGCACAACCAAGAAGTATCTCGAAGAAAATTATAAGCATAATAAGCCTATGTTTGGAGACCAATTATAAATCCATTATGAACAATTTATCGGCCAACATTTGAACCTTTTATCTACAAACCATTTTTGCCCCTAAACCATGTATTTGTATATGCCAATCTACCCTTGCAATGGGTTTCCCTGTGCATTGAGTACTGGGTCAAAGGTGGAATCGATAATTACACAAAAGTCCAAATGTATGTCAGATGCAATTTGGGACAAAAATTTGTAATATTTTGCTGAAAGCTGACACCCATGTCAACAGGTCAACAACAGGAATTCAATGTAGGGCCTCCACGTTTATAATTCATTTATAAATCTTATGTTTCCAAACACAGGCTAAGTAACTTCATAAATAACTATAGGTAGAACCACCCTACATAAATGCTAGTTTTACATGCTTTCTTTTTAAATTTGTTATTGAGACATTCTTTGCATCACTTGTTCTAATTAAGGTAAATTCTTAAAAAGAGAGGAGAGTACAAATGTCAATACACATTTATAAATATGGTGATAAAATGACGCGTTGATTTTGTTTTTTATTTCACTAAAAAAGGATAATGTATAATGTTTATATGGTTGCATGCAAACGGACGAGAGTTGGAAGGACTTTATGCGTGTATGTTTATACATGAAACTAGTTGGTGCTTGATATTGCCAGAGGCGGAGGGAGAGGGGGGCTGGGCTGGGTTGTAGCCCAGTCCCACCCAAAAAGCAAGTTAACTTGTAAAAATTGGAAAGTTCAGCCCAAATTATTGGTAAAATTAAGAAGAATAAAAATTTAGCCCAGTCCAAAGTTTAATCTTAACCCAATTAACTTCATTCCCAACCTAAGCCCAATGTTCAATTATTCAAATTTAGCTTCAAATTTAAATAGTTCAATTATGATCAAATTAGTTTATTATATTAGAAATATTTTTTATTGATTAAAGTAAAGATAAATAACTTATTGTAGCATGTCACATGTTTGACTAAACTTAAAAGTGATTAATTTTTTCTAACGTATTTTTTCATATATTGCTTATTTATATTTGTAAGTTAAAAATTTATTTATTTCGACAACGAAACGGTTGTTATTATCAAAATAAGTAATATACTCTATATTTATTTTTATCAATTAAAAATATATTTGTTAGAACTTTGTCATAAATGTTTGGAAATATATTTTGATCCATTTTGTCATTAGCGTCAAGAGTTTAATATTTTAAACTAAATCTCGAGTGGCAAAGAGCATCTATGAAAAAAATTCAATTTTCAGCCCACCCTAATTTATCTTTCTGGCTCCGCCTCTGGATATTGCACAACTGATCATGATATAGTGGTACAGGTATACCTTCCAGTATGCAGAATACACAGTCCAGATGTTGTTGCAACATTTTTCTTTAAGATCGATGTCTAGAGCTTTTGATGATAACTAAAGAAATAACTGACTAAAATTTTGATGCAGCATAATACATAGAACAACATACATAGAGAAGAAGGAGAGTTCTTCTTTGTAGGCTCCCTTCTATCTATCTTTCCCCCTCTTCTCTATTTTGTTGTACGTACTATGTGGCCTCCAAATTCGCAAGCTCCTTACATCTCATAACATCTATCTAGTGGAAAGCCCTGTAAGACAGTTTTACTCAGTAAGAAAGTGGAAGATAGAATGTCAATTATTATTTCAATCCAGATGCTCAATTGTTTATCGCCGTGCCCAATCTTTAAAAGATTAGATTGGTTAGATTCCTACACTAGAAGGTGTGAAAGAACTGTATATGGTATGAGCAAAGAGGATTTTTTTTTTTTTTTAAAAAAAAGCAAGATTTTCATTGTAGTTAAAAAAATTATCCGTTGATTATTAAAGTTGAGTTTCAGATATCCATGATAGATAGCATAGCTGCAGTTGATTCTCATTGATGGCTGATAAGTTTGCACCATATGGCTTGGTGATTTCAACCAATGTGCTAACATGTAGTGTCCTCTGCTTTTTGAAGATAAGCCATCGTTTTCCTTTATTTGACACATCGTATGTAATATTTCTTGGATGTCGTTTATGATTTTTACACTGCTTAAAAGTTGTACAAGCCATGGAAGTTTCAAAGTTTCATCATTCTTTTAACTGAGGATATTATTTTCTCTTTCTTATTTACATTTGCAAAGTTCTGTAGGATGAGAAGTATTGGCCTCTGATGCCTCCATTGCCATCATATGGGTATGGAAGAGAACATCCTGGACCAAGATATGGAAGTTTAATTCATGGTCAAAATCTCAAAGATGTTATTATTACAGGTGAGCTTTTACTTGGAGCTTCATTGTTTCTTTTACTTGGAGCTTCATTGTTTCTTTTCAGAGATGAGGTTATTCATTTATTTATATATTTTGGGTTGAGGGGGTGGGTAGGTTGAGTGGTTAGGGACTTCGGGTAAGTACAGATTGATGATTTGAACCATTGATCTTAGCATTATTATACTAACTCTATGGAGTAACTTTGGTTGTGAAAGAACATCATTGCTTGTTTTGAGGGAACTGTGGAAAGAGTATATTCTTAAATTTCCTCACTTCAGTCCAATCAAATGTAAAATTCAGGTAAAACATACACGGATTACATTTGGTTTTTAAAAGATCTTACTAAGTTGAAGTGACTCTCTAGCTAAAATGAAAAAATACTGCTCCCACTTCAGAGATAGATGCAGCTATTGCAAGTTCTGACACGACAATGGAACTTGCAACTAATAAATGTTATGCATTGAAAGGTAAAGTGTACCCTAAAACTTTTAAGAGCTAATAAACTGAACAATAATAATCCCACAATGCTCTTGGTGCTCAGATATCTTTAATTGGTATCTTTTGTTTCAAGTTGGGAATGTTATAAATGTTTAAGGGGGTAATGAGAAGTATATAATTCTATGACACCTTGTTGAGATTTAAAACTTTTAGTATGAAATAAGTCATTGTTTCACTTGGTAGTTATCATTTTAGCTGGACAAACTTGGGGCTGAGGCTATGTCATCTTGTCTCACTTTCTCCTTATTCGTTCAACATGGAACACTGAACACAGTTATCTTGTTCTGTCTCCCTGAATTTGTATATTTCCTTCAAAGATGCCCTAGTTTTGTGAGCAAAAGAAGCTCAGAAAGTGTCAGTTCACAATTGTATTTTTGTCATGTGTATGGATGATTGTGCCTGATCTATTCACCTATAGAAACCTGTAAATTTAAAATGATTCCTGGTGATGCATTAACTTTTTTCTACTATCCATGGGTGGGTTTAAAAGTTATATAGTCAAGATTTTGAGGGTGTCCAAGGTTTGTGTAAATGTAATTATATGTAATTCATCTGAATGCATATATACCATTCATGATAACAGGGCATAACGGCACCATTAATGGCCAGGGTCAAACGTGGTGGAAGAAGTATCGTCAGAAGCTTCTTAACCACACCAGAGGGCCGCTCGTGCAAATTATGTGGTCTAGGGACATCCTGATATCTAACATAACGTTACGAGATTCTCCCTTTTGGACTCTACATCCCTACGACTGCAAGAATGTGACAATTAGAAATCTTACAATTTTGGCACCTATCTTTGAAGCTCCAAATACTGATGGCATAGATCCAGGTAATAAGTTTTTTCTTTTGCTTTGTCTTGTATGAGGTTATTGGATGGACGAGCCATATTGTTTTGACTATGCGATAACAGCACCTGCCATACTTATGTCGATATCATGGTGAACATTTATATTTTTTTATAGATTTTTCTTTACTTGTAGCTATGTACTTATTTTTGGATAATCTCATTTGGTTAAACAGATTCGTGCGAAGATATGGTAATTGAAGACTGTTACATAAGCGTAGGAGATGATGGTATAGCAATAAAGAGTGGCTGGGATCAATATGGGATTGCTTATCAAAGGCCTTCAGTGAATATACTGCTCCGAAACCTTGTTATACGCTCAATGGTCAGGTGAGAGATCCCATATACCCTTGACTGCAATTTCTCGACTGATTGCAGGCTGCATCTATAGTTGCCTAGTGGCCCAGTTTCAAGTAATTATCAGCTTATGGATCTACAAATTCTTTATTTGACGAATGCCTAGTTCAACATTTTGTTGTTTATCTCTATCAAAATGTGTCATGGACTTCATTTTTTTGATGTAAAATTATGGTTACTATGCGTACATTTTGATAGTGATTGAGTTGTACCTTCCTGAATAACAGTGCAGGCGTATCAATAGGCAGTGAGATGTCTGGTGGGGTGTCAAATGTCACTGTGGAGAATGTCCTTGTATGGAACTCAAGACGTGCTGTTCGGATCAAGACAGCCCCTGGAAGAGGAGGATATGTTCGGAATATAATTTATCGAAATCTAACATTTGATAATGTACGTGTGGGGATCATCATCAAAACAGATTACAATGAACATCCGGATGCAGGGTTTGACCCCAAGGCTGTTCCAATTCTAGAGGACATAAGCTACAGTTCAATACATGGTGAGGGAGTTCGTGTGCCAGTCCGTATTCAAGGTAGCGAAGAAATTCCTGTCAGGAATGTCCGTTTCCGGGATATGTCAGTAGGAATTACGTATAAGAAGAAGCATATATTCCAGTGTGCTTTTGTTGAAGGTCGTGTTACAGGGAACATATTCCCGTCTCCCTGTGAAAACCTGGATCTATACGACGAGCAAGGGCACCTAGTCAAAAAGTCGGTCTCTCATAATGTATCAGATATAGATTATGATTTTTGAAATGATTGCAATTGCTCTCTCTAAGGGTCAAACTTCTGATGTTTCAACACAGTTCTGATGGGGCAAGGCAATATGTTGGGATGAGTCAACTTCAATTGCCTTGTTCTGTAATTTTTGTTTCCTTTTTGTAACTTTTCTTTGTATAAACAGCAAATTACAGTGCAATACACGCATCAGTTTGGTTCTTTTGAATTAGATTTTAAGTTCATATCATAGCTTTTGAATCATGACTTTTGTCAGAATAATTGTAAGAGCGAAGTTTCAACTTTTTGCAGCTTTTGATGTTTATTCGACATTTCTTAGGATGTATTTGATTACATTTATTTTCCATGGAAAATATCAGTTTTTCACCCAAATTTCTACTTGGAGTGTTTGATTGTTATTTTTTTCCATAGAAAATATTTTCCAACTTTTGAAAATATGCTTAATTTTCCTTGTTTTTAAGGAAAATATTTTCTTTGGGTAGAGGTGGTTTTTATTTTCCACAAAAGATGGAAAATATTTTCTTTTCTAGGTGATATTTTCCATGTCAATCAAACACACTCTTAGTGCTTTGGTTTAAAGAAAGTTGGTCGACCAGTTTATCTGATATAGAGCATGTTATTATTTAAAAAAAAAACGAAACCTACCGTTCCGTCCCTAGAGCTTTGTGAGGGAAGTAAATCGCGGGATGTGTCCCAACAGGTCAGAGGACAAAAGTTGTCTGTACACTGCGCCTACAAAGAGTTCAATTGCATGTCTCAGGAATCGAACTTCTACACTGCGATTGTCAGCAAGGCGTGAGATAACATCACTCCTATCCTTTGCACTACATGACTATGCCCTGAGGTCGCATGTTATTATTAATTTGCACTTCAAAAGAATTGTTCAAGAATATTATTAAAATCTCTTTGCTAGAATTCGGGGAATCTTGATTGAAATAAAATTTTATAATCAAGTTATTTTAGCTTATTGACCCTTACAAATTTTAGTTGTATTTTTCAAGGGTCTAGAATTTTATTTTTATTCTTGGAAAAATGTTCTTTATTAGCTAGATCAGTGCTTAATTTATTGTATAGCATATTCAAATATTTCTTAGGTACATGTACAAAAATGTTATTTTAAAGTTTGACGAAAGAAACAAATAAGAAATATCTTGAAGAAATGCATCTAAATATAATATTTTAAGCGTGTAAGTTTAATAGATCATATGAATATATAAATTCATAAATTTTATCGTATACTTTTGTTGTAAGTTTAAATGTTTAATAGATCACGTGAATATAGAAATTCTTAAGTTTTATCATATACTTTTGTTCATTAAGTTTATTCAAATGTACTCAGTTTAACGGATCAAGTGGAGCTCCATAAATACTCTTTCTTTCAACTTGTTAACAATTTCAACAAGTCAAAATTACGTGTACGATTTAACTTATTGATAAGTATTTTTTTCCTTTTTATTCAACCCCAATAACTTATTAAAGTATCTTTCAATTTTGAAAACTTCCAAAAATAAAAATTGAAAGAGATGTTTCTTCTTACCATTTCCCTACTTTATTATTGTTTACCACATAAATAAAAATAATTAAAGAATGAAGAATGCCATGTGCTATTCGTACCCATATGAGAAAATCAACCCTGCAACTGAGCCAGGTTCAGTAACAGGCTCAAAAACAGGGGTTAAGGTGGTATCACCTCAATCCTCGATTTCACTTAATTTTATTTTTTTTTCAGATCTAAGGGCCGAGGTGGTGCGATTTCACTTCCTTTTTTTTTCAGATCTAAGGGCCGAGGTGTTGCCACCTCAGCTTCCTATTTTTGAGTCTGGTTTTGCACTTGGCTGAGTAGCATTTTTCTGAGAAAATATCACAAACTCTTTTTCCTGACAAATTGAACAAAATATTTGTAACTATTAAAAGTAACACGAATAATTATTCACCAAAAAAAAAGGTGGAAATTTACGCTTCTCTTTTTCAATCTTTGCGAAATCTTACAAATCTCCCATTAATCAATTTTTATCATATTTCATCTTCAACGTTTCTATTAGACCTAAGCATGGTTTGGTTTTGGTCGGTTTCAACTACAATCCAAAAATCAAAACCAAATTAGTTGGTTTGGACAAATTTCAACCCAAACCAACCCACTCTACCTCTTAAATCAAACTAAACCAAATCAAACCAAACCAAATAGGTTTAGTTTGATTTGATTTGGAGTTTTAGTTCAAATTAATTTTTTTTTAAGAGAATTGTCTGAGTTTTAGGCACACTTAAATTACAAGAACTTAAATAACCAAAATAATTTTATTTTATAAGAAGCACTGATTAACAAATAAAATCAGATTATAGAGACGGGTCAACAGAAAATTTACAAATTTTATTGCTTTTTTATGTATATATGTAGTCTAATTACCTGAAGATGGAATAAATGTTAAGTATAATATAATAAGCTTGTGAAAGAAAATTTTCAACGCTATTACTTACCAGCAACGTCATAGGGAATTGAGATATGGTTATGAGATTAGAGTTTTTTTTTTTTTTTCTTAATTTGAAAAAAAAAAGTGAAAAAGAAAAAGAAGGAGGTGAACACATAAGTAGGTTGGGTTTGTTCGGTTAACCAACAATTTGAGACTTCAAACTATGACTGAACCAATCCACCATGATTTTAACCAAACCAAACCACTTATCCGTGTCGAACCATTCCTAATCGGTCCAGTTCGATTGATTTGGTCAGTTTTTCGATTTTTTGCCCAATCCTACTTTCTATTATGTAGTAAAACTCATCTTTTCTTCCATTTGAGCATCAAATGACAAATTTGCAGATCTCTTCAAACAAATTCGTACCCTAACTTAATTCAAACAATTTTTTCTTCAGTTCAAATGAAGAAACCTAACTGATGCAAATGACTTCGTAAAGTCCTGAAGAGTTGTAAATTATATTCTATTTCGAAAGATTGTTAATTTTATTGCAACTTTAAATTAGACATTTATAGTTTATTGTTTTTGAGCTCATGTTAAAGGCAGATTATAGAATTGTTAATTTTATTGCAACGTAAATTAGACACTTAGAGTTTATTGTTTTTGAGCTCTTAAAGTTTTAATTGAGATCTTGAAGGCAGCACTTCATATTTATAGTTTGGTGGTTTTTGTTAAATTTGGCTACTTTTGGCAAACTGATTTTCGTATAAGGAATTTAATATAAAAATTTATTATGGATATTAATACGTAGATAGTAGTATGGTTGATTAAGATGGATACTAATTTTTTATGCAAAAGATAATCATCTGTACCATCAATCGTATAACATGACGGAGGTTGGAAGTGAGCTTAGGCCGAATAAAGATAATAGATTAGATGACTTTTTTTTTTTTTTAATGAAAAATTAAGAGTAATATTATTCGGTGAAAACTATCGGTAGTCGTTGTGACATACACACATTAAGGAGACTACCGATAATTTTCACTATGAATAGCATTATTCAAAAATTAATAGTTACTACCCACCTTAATTAACGATAATATCATCATTATAAAGTGAGTATTAGAATCCATTTGGAACGATTGTTGAGAATAAAAAGAAGCTTTTGAGACTTAAAAACTGCTTTTGGATCCCTTTTGAGGGTCGATTTGACATAGCTACTTTTGCTTTTACTTCTTGTAGAAGACCTTTTGAAAAAAGTTACTTTAATTTTTGTTAGAAAATTAATATTTATTCTCTAAAAGCTCTTCTAAATACTAAAAGTATTTAAAACAAAATTAATCAAACGAGTCCAAAAATAGCCTTTGGATCTTAAAAGCTTATTTTGATTTTTCAAAAATTATACTTCTTTTAGTTAGAAGAGATTTGAGAAGAAGTTGGTCCAATACATCTTCCTCTAGAACTACTTTCAAAATTTTCTTAAAAATTAATTTTTAAACAAAAATTAAGACAACTTCCTTCAAAATCTCTTTTACAAGAAGCCAAAAATAATAATAATAATAATAAAATTAAAAAAAAAAAATCTTACCAAACGGATCCCCCAAGTCCTCATAGATTAGGGCTTCATCTGTAATTTTAAACAAAATTTGACTTCTTAGGTATCGCAATGAAAACGTTTCGATATTTGATTTTTGAACCGACACAAAAAGGTACCTTGTCTGGCCTGGCTTGGCTTGCACTTTTATCTTTTTCCAGTATGCTGCTTCTTTATTCAACTTCAGAAAAAGAAATGTCAAACTGACGTCTATTTTACGAAAAGAATTACTGTATATTACTCAATCCGCATTTACTGTCGAACCACTTCTATCGTCAGCCAAAATGTTACGAGGAAATAATTTTTTCTTCCTTTTTTTGGTGCTTACTAGTAAACACTCCCGAATTACGCTACTCCAACAAGAAAATTTGACGAAAAATATTGATAGAGCTGACGTGACGAACCGTGATTCGCTACTCCAACAAGAAAATTTGACGAACCGTGATTCGCCTTTTTTTTTTAAAAAAATTTCCATCTTCCAATGAATAAATGCCAAATTTTGTCTGTCACCATTTTCTGTCGAATTTTCCTATTTAAGTAGCATCATTGAGACACACTCTACGTTAATGTTTCAATTAGATGATTTTAGTGTGTTAATAACATTCAACTAACTCACTAAAATTACGATGATTTGAAGATTTTGGTATGATATCTCTATTCAAATAACTTCTTCTACAATTTTAATATCTTTTCGAGAAACATATAGTTATTGGAAGCGATTTTTCTTTCTTTTTTTAAAAAAAAAATGCTGACATTTTATTATTGGCCATAATTATTGGCTAATTATACATAGTAAGTAGAATAGTATAGTTTGATTAATAGGCAATCAATGATGTGGGCAATTTTTTAATCAATTGAAATTAATATTCTGACTTTCTTTTTGTTAAAAAAGGTGCATAACAATAGTTAGGAACCCGTTTGATATGTAGTTACATTATGTATAATTTTTATTATATCATTTGACACACCGAATTAGAGTCCCGAATTGGCATTTAATATTAATTATTAAGATCCATAAAATATAAAGATTTCAAGAATATGGCATTTTATGGATCAAAATTCAGATGTTGCAGAATATTTTTTTATTGATCATTGAATTATAATTTTTTATTTTTTTTGTTGAATGATCAATGAACTTATCAAATCGTTATGTCATTGGTTGTTGTTTATCTGTATTTTCCTTTGATATTATTCTTTTATTGCTT